CCCCACCCCCCCAACCACCCCCCATTGAAAGTCTAAACTAACGTCTTAATATCAATACTATAACATCAACCTCATCACCGCAACCTCAAAAACGCACACAGTCAGCTCGAAAACGCACGAAGAAGCAGAAAACCAGGGGCCCTATTATGACCGTGTCTCCGCGTACAATTATGCCCTTGACCTTTGATGGTGCATTTCTGCACAAATACATAACAATATGTACAGGATTTAGATGCCAATATATACGTACGGCATGTCTTGACATACATATATATATATATATGCTACCCCCTGAAAAGTCTACCTTTCTCGCCTCTTTTGCGAGCATTGGAGTGTCTTTAGACATGTTGAATCTTGAATCAAGCACTTCTTGCAACAAATTTGGTCACTGGAACTGGTTGCAAACGTTTGCAATGGCTGACCGGCCCAAAAACATGCCATAATATCAATCAAACTATGAAGGCAATTGCATCATTAGAAACCACCGTTCAATGGTTGACAGTCTTTTGCATATTATTTGGCGGCTGTTTTGTTTTCAACTTGGAAACATCCTAATATGTGCAATCCTTAATGTTAAAGTGTTCCTGTTTCAACATCTACACTCTTCTGGCCCTTGCTAGTTTCTCTTTCCAGCATACCTATATTAACATTAACAAACATGTGTGCCTTTGTATTTGCATGCTGTGTATCTGACATAATTTTGCTTTTGTACGTGTCCTTAGCAACCAACATCATACACACAAGAGTCACAAGAGCGCTGTTTATAATACAAAATGTCAACTTTACCACCAGGTTCTTTTAAAGCTCATACATTAATGGATATGCTTTTCAAAAACACACATGTATATATTGAAATGTCCTGTTTCCCCTAAACAGTAAGTGTCAGTAAGCCTTGTTCTGGTCTATTTCCAAGCGTGCCTCCCTGTTAGAAAGTTATGAAGTTTCCCCGCAATACGATTTATGTAAAGGGTTGCAATGTGCCGGTTGAAATAGAACAGTGGTTTTGAGATCTTGTTGTATGGTTTCTTTGCCTCAACTATAATACTAAATGACATTGATTGAGTTTGTTTAACTTATATGTGGTGTCACATTTCCTTGTTTCAGCTTGAACCTGAAATTCAACTCTGCTGAAGTGATGCCTGAACAACACTTGATGTGAGGATTATATCCTGGCTGGTTGCTTCGATAGCGCAGCTTTGAAATAAAAAACATTGCCTGTCTAGAACATGGTGTGCAATCATCCTACATTCAATGGGTTCATCACTGGTGTTAATGTGACAGTTTGTCGAAGCCTCAACATCTAATGTGTATTCCTTGTTCATACCAAGCTTTCTTTTTGGTGCCTTGATGTCTTTGTGTAGTGTGTACCTGTGGTCATCCTTAACCAATCCAAAAATTGTTTGCCCAAAGAAGTGCATCGGATCACCCATACAATCAAAGATTCTGGCTGGAACATGGATTCTTTGAACACCTTTTTCATGTCATTACTGGATGCTCCAGATGCTTTAAACTGTTCGTCAGTTTTGCTAATGGGTTCCACAACTTTATCTCTGGTAATCTTCTCATGCATCATCCATCGCTCTTTTTTGATTTTGTGCTCTACTTTTGATGCCTTCTAATGTGGCAATTGTCTCCATAGTGTGATTGATATTGTGGCATGTTTGGGGGCCGGTCAGCCATTGCAAACGTTTGCAAACGGTTCCTGTGGCAAAACATGTGTTCCAAGTATTGCCTGGGTCCAAGGCTCAAGATTCAAGATCTAAAAAAGTTCTTGAATCCAGAAACTTAGACTAGGAGAGACTCTGGGCTCAAGAACATTTGTTCATCTTGGATCTTGAACCTTGAATCTTAGACACTGCTCTCGTGTGCAAGCGTTTGCAAATGTTTGGCCTGATGTTGTCATTTTCCATGACTTCTGGAATTGATCTTAAGCACGCTCTGTAGATATGTATAGGTATATGTATATGTGGTGCTATCTATTTGTATATCTATCTCTCTGCCTGCCTGCTAGCTGGCTGGCTGGCAATTTGTTTGTTTGTCTGTCTGTCTGTGTCTGTTTGTCTGTCAGTCAGTCAGTCAGTCTGTCTGTCTGTCTGTCTGCCTGCCTGCCTGTCTGTCTGTCCAATGTCCACCTCCGAATAATAAACCCCCCCCTTGATCAAGTGCGGGCCCCAAATATGTAATGTGAAATCTAAAAAAATCCTAGAACATCTTGGTTTGAATTGGAAATCAAAGGAAATGAACAAAATTGAAAGGACAATGAAAGGAAAGGAAGTGAAATTAAAGGACAATGAAGGGAAAGGAAAGAAATTGAAAGGACAATGAAAGGAAAGGAAAGGAACTTAAAAGGACCATGAAAGGAAAGGAAAGGAAATTGAAAGGACAATGAAAGGAAACCTAAAGGAATTGTAAAGGAGACAACCTAAAGAACCAGCCAGGGATTGTTTAGCATTATTTGAAGTCTGGAGTAATTGAAGGTTTGGGCTGCTTG